CGCGTCCTGAATTCCACTGCTAGCCACTATTCATCTTTGCTTATAATGCTTGTGAATTAAGGCTTTATTGAGGCAATATGCGCAGAATGCTCATATCTCAATAAGAGACTGATCATTTGTAGTCCTAAATATCAATAGGAAGATTCAAGTAAACAATACCATGTGAACTAATAATCTAGTTTCGAATCACGTCATTTTTTGCACTCAGACAATTAGAGTATAACCCAATAGATGTTTCAGTTTAAGTCTTAATGTGAACATGAATACTAGGATCCAAACATCTCCAACTGATGAGTCTCACATGGGACAGAATGTACGGTGTAGATTCTACTACTTATCCTAGTTCACCTATTCTATAAATAATTTTGATAAAAAGACAATACACAGTCAATTCGTACACTATACACAAACTTTAATAAAAGCTACCTAAAAACTCTATTCTAAATGCAAACGTTTTAATAATTCAATTCTTACCAATAATATATATATATATGCCTTCTCGTGGGGAGGGTGTTGTTTACGAAATTGAGAGGACGGAAAGCGAATGTCCGGCGCTTCAACCGGGTTCCAAACCAATGGTGCACATGCGCTCCACTACCCTTTGAGAACAAATGGCATATGAACCAATCGTTGGTCACTGGCTACCATGGGACTGCATCTCCTCACGATGTTCCATTGCCTCGTGGGTCAGACCTTTAGGTCTAAGGATCGGAGTGTGGCCCCCTAAGAAAACCACCTGCTTCGGTCTGGGCACCGGGGCAGTATCCCAGCCCCCACACAAATCGAATGATTTATGTGGCGCATATGTATTTGGTGCCTCCTTGTATTAATGTTTATGTGTTTAAATAATAATATTAATATTACTATTACTACTAATATTACTATTAGTAATACGCTTCAGTGATTACTGTTGATCAATATGAAATCACGAAAATACTTATTATTGACCTAATGAACTAACGTTTATTCCAAAATATGACTAAGTTTTCAATTTATTACTTTTTTTTCTACTTCATTAAAAGTGTGTTTTTATCTCAAATTCTTCCTTACCCATTGTTCAGTATTTCAATATATAAGTTTATATAAATTCACTTGGTATTGTTTGTTTGTATCTTCTCATTGATGTTTAGAGCTGCAATTGATCAGTCGCTTATTGGCATATGTGCATACTGTGCGTATTACCTCGATATAGCCATAATTCACAAGCATTGTATGAAGAGATGGATAGTGGTTACTAGTGGGATTCAGGACGTGCGTTTCGTCCTATTCGGAACTCATCAGCTGGATATAACTACACCTCAGAATTGATGTCTACTCTAGGACTCGAATTCAGTACCGTTCGCTTAAAACACTATCTCGTTATCCACTTAGCTACATCTAGCTGGCGCATCCCAAATAGGACGAAACGCGCGTCCTGGATTCCACTACCAACCACTATCCATCTTTGCATATAAGTTGTCTTGTTTAGTTTTTGTTTGACTGAAATGAATGATTCATTATTAAGATTATCTTTGTTTCAAGTTGATTTCATATGATGAAATAACTTTTTTTCTTACTGTTAACTTCCAGACCAATAAGCTCAGCTAAGAGAACTGAACGTTCTAGGTTCGTTCCCTAATTTGGTCATGTATATCCATTTATGAGAAGCTTAAACCTTTTAGAAAAGAAACAATTGATTATTCCTATCAAGTTTACAGTAGTTGTCTAACTATGGTCAGTCTGCATAAACTATAAAATCCCATTATTATTATTTTCAAACATACCATGAAGAGAGGCAGACCGTTCATCTACGGATGTCGGCGCACCGGAAGGCTTAACATTTCGACAAGCAGTGAGGCACAGACTGTGACAAGTTCTGTGGTACTATGAGTGGAATGATGGCTAGTGCAACTTATTAAAGAGGGAACGAATGTGATGTACGCCACTTAAACGAAGAGATATAGTTAGTATGTATCAAGAATTGGATGTAGAATTCCTACTAATAAAAAAACTAATATGAGGAGAGAGAGAGAGAGATAGAAGAACTGAACCAGATCAAGTATCAACAAAAATAAAATGACGATGGAGTTTTTTTAGGGATAATTCAAGGAATATATCCAAATGGTATATTCAATATATGGTTCTTATATTCTACAAATGTATTGTGCGATTTGTTTAATTTAACCAAGTTTTCATTCATTATGTATGTAAATGAAATCATGGAATTCTTATCACGCTAATCTACTATTTGAATATTAAACAAAACTGGTATTATGGTTCAAATTCTACCATAATATGAAATTGCAAATCAGTTTTCAGTAGATCTACTATAAATGATAACTAAGAAAGAGAAATAAGATACAACTGGTGTTACAGTTTTTTCTCATATCATGGTTCTTGTTTCGTTCATTTTTACCGGGGTTTTTTTTGGGGGGGGGTGGATTTTTGTTTCGAAAATCATTGATATTTATCTGTAAACAGATCACGAAGAAAAACTGAATAAACTATTGATATTTATGCGTATTTACACATATCAGATTGTGTAATCATGATCATGATAGTAATTTTTTAGTTTTTTTGCATGAAATTCAAATGTCACTGGGGTACATACTATTTATGTCAACAGACATAAGTAGTATGTATCACTAGGCAGAAGCAGAAAACCTGACAACAGCAGTCTATGAAGGACGACTTGAGAAAAAAACAAAACGGAAATAGAAAGGAATTATGACTTGGTGGAAGCATAAAAAATATGAAGAACAAATGGTGGAATATAGTATATGAAGTATTGAATGTATGATTCTCATATTTTACCAAGAGATTCTCTAATTTTGTATTAAAATATGTTGGTTTTCCCCACTTGGGTCTTCGTTCATTACAACGCAATTGATGAATATTCATTTTATGCTATGTAACTGGTACGTCTACTTGGGACTTGATTCAATCAGAAAGTAAAGTTTCTTGCCATCAAGCAACAAAAATAATTTAGTTTCAAGTAGTTACAGATAATTGAGAAGAAGCGTCGATAGAAAGATATATCCATAATCTTGAAAGAATCGATGTTCCGTCTGAGATTTAAACCCACTACATTCAGCTTCACAGCCATAATGTTAAGTTTGGTATACTAACCATGATCCAACCTAGTCAACAGAATTCTATCAACTCTGAAAAACTAGATAAACACAACAACAGTTAGCGTTCAGTGAAAGCAAGATTATCTGATAAATTGATACCATTTGTTTCAGAATCTATAAATTGTTTCATTTACTTTCGGTTCAAATAAAACTCTTAATCGAATTATTTCTTTACTGATTCATGAAATAATAGGCACTGTTTTACCATGTGTCATTTGAAACTAAACCACCATGGAAAACATGGAAGCACTGGACGGCCGTTTCCTTCAAGTATGCGACTCCTTTGTAGTGTGCATCCACAATTCCGCTCGAGGGATTCGAATCCAGGACCTATAGGTCCCGCGCGCAAACGCTTAAGCTCTAGACCAGGAGCAGGATCGTGGATGCACACTGCTGAGGAGTCCCGCAATAGGACGAAACGGCCGTTCAGTGCCTACAGGTTTTCAATTGTGGTCTAACATCATTCAGTGCAGAGGAACATAAATATGCACAGTCTAGTTACTCAACAGTTACACAATAAGAATCTATATATAACATTAGTCCATTCATCGCTCCCAGAAGTGACTCATAATTTAATCTTTACTAGGATATAACACCACTAATTACTTTTTCTCGTAAAAACACTAATTATAAACATTTAGATAAACACAAACGCATGTAAAACCTACTGTAAGTTCTTTATTTTAACAATTTCTGTATAAAATTGACTACTAAGGGGTTAGAAAACATAACAAGGAGACTTTCAGAGTTACCTATTTCCAGCATGATAGTAATAATTTTATCATGCACAGGAGGTTGACTGATCTAATTATTGTGGATATAGCGTACACGTTATTCTGATTTTAGGTGGATTTTAATAGTTCGCAAGAAGCAGTGAACCTAGTAGAAACTTGAAGGGACTTGAGTCAATCATAACTTGATCTTACATTAAAGCTGGACGGCGCATATATGAACAGTATGAACCACTTCAATTAAAGTACTGTTTTCAACAGTTTTAAATAAAGTTTCATAAAATGTCCACAGATCAGAGATCGTTTGTGTTTGGTGTTTTAACATAAACCTCACCCCAGGGATAGAGTAAATTGATGACAGGTATTTACTTTTCATTTGAAGAGTTCTTATTATTCCTTGAATTGTCAGAAACTGTTATTTAAGAAGACGATTATTCATGAAATAGTCTTCATACTAAAGAACATGAGCTGACTAAAAGTTATAATCGTCTAAATGAAAAAAAATTCCCGATACTTCATTATCAAAGGAAGAAAAAATCTGTAACCAATCTATTAAATTTTCATGTCTACACATTAGTTGAATACGCAGTCTTTTCAATTCATACATTACATAATATATTGGGTTTTTTAAGCAAAGTTGGTTAGTGGCTAGCAGTGGAATCCAGAACGCGCGTTTCGTCCTATTTTGGACTCGTCAGCTTGATGTACCTGCATCCCAGAATTGATGTTCACTCGGAGACTCGAACACAGTACATTTTGCTTCAGACGCCATCGCTTGATCCAATTAGCTACTGATTACTGATAGTCACCTGCTTTTGCAATGGGGTGAACTTTATATTTACTTGGTGTCTTTTTATCTGTATCTTCCCATTGTTATTTAGAACTGCAATTAATCTGTCTCATGTTGGCATATGTGCATCCTGTGCGGATAGCCTCTATATAGCCTTAAGTCACAAACGTTTTAAGCAAAGTTGAATTGTGGCTAGTAGTGGAATCCCTGACACGCGTTTCGTTCTATTTGGGACTCGTCAGCTGGGTGTATCAGCAATGAGATTGTTGTCAATTTTTATTTGGCTCTCGATTGTATTTATGTTTGTTTCTCATTGTTAAACCTCTCTGACCCTCTCTTTTTCTTCTTTCTGAATCAATTTTACAGCCACATGAAGGATTTGCATTTACATTAGGTAAGTTAGTTTATAATCAACGAGATTTCATTACATTTATACATTTCTGTAAAACATATGTTGTTTGGCAAATTTTTTTTATTTATTGAATTTTTCCCATTAGCTTTCATTTCAGTGGAAATTAAGTTATTGATGTAATGAAAAAGGGATAGAAAATAGAAAAGTGCTGAAGGTAGTCAGCAACAAGTCCCGGAACTTAGTTCCATGTCAATTGATACTTATCAGTAAAGTGTACTTATAATGTTGTGGGGAACTTATGCTGCATATGAGACTCGAACCAGAGATACCTATCACTTTAGTTGCAAATAATGTCACTGATATATTCAAACTTCAATCCATCTCTTGTAGAGCGGAGATATATACGGTGATTGGCTACAAAATAGTACAGAATGTCATTTATGTCTAGATATTTAGCATAGATCTAATTCTATCAATCAAGATCTTTGTGTTGTGTTAAGATTTTACATTTAAACAGATATTTACAACGTCATGACAAGTGAGAATGAGTATTTGTTCGGTGATATAACTTGGTTACACTTGACTCATGAAGTAGACATTGATGATTTCGTCTGAATCGACAATAAAGTCTACTCATTTACTTATCTAATTACGTCTTCTTACCCCTCGTGGAGGAGCGTTGGCCGCCCACTGACGTTCTCCATCCCGCCCTGTCCTAGACATTCCTTTTCAGGTGTTTTTCCTCTTTGTTTTGAATTTTCAGCACAGTGTGTACCTTTGTCTTCCTTTTTTCCGTTTTCCTTCGACATTTCAAGTTAGCGCTTATCTCGTAATGCAGTTTTATGATTTCCTCAATGTATGTCCTATCTACTTCCAATGATTTTTCCTAAGTTCCTCCTTAGCTAGAAGTTGGTTTGTTCTCTCCCACAGTAGGTCCGGTCAACGGACACTCAGTAGCCTACGTAGATAATTGTTTCTAAATACATGTACCATTTTGATGATAGTTATGGTAGTTCTCCAAATTTCACCTTCATACAATACTCTGAAAACTTAGAATCATTAAAATGCATAAACAAAACTTTCATAAAAGTTTCGTAAACTCACTATCTAATTTCAAGCTTGATTAATTCGATTAAAACAATGACCATTCTAATATACTTCATTTGATTTCTTCCTTTTATTAATAAATGAAGCTTATCAATCATTTACTTTAATATTTCTCAATTAAACTATTTACATATAAAAGATTAAGGTCATTTGATTTCGATGAATATGTCAACAGAATGTTATTTTTATGGTCAAATGAAAACTACTCACTAGTAATATAAACATATTTTTTGTTAATGTAAATATTAACCGAAGTGTAGAATACTACTTATATATATATACATATACATATTTATGAGTAGTGTATACTGAACTAGTTTAGATTGTTTGCCGTAATTGCGTAAAATTTGAACATATGATTTACAATAGAAACTTAACACATATTATAATTGACTGATAAATATCAGTTAACCGTGAATAATTGTCATTGTGAATTGAGTGAAGTATAGTGTTTAACTTTTGTTTGTTTTTAATCGGTAGTTATTTACGAATATTATAAGAAAAGGGGTTTGTGGAGTCGATTTAAACCAGGCCACCATTGAAAAGCTGGAAGCACTGGACGGCCGTTTCTTCGGAGTATGGGACTCCTCAACAATGCAGATCCACGATCCCGTCCCGCAAGATTTCAACCCAGGATCTATTGATGTCTCACGCCAACACTTAACCTCTAGACCACTGAGCTGTCCAGCATCCAAAAATGTTAATACTTCTCTTCAACCAATCCATGAAATAACGCCACTGTTCACCATTGTCTTCAGTCAGTCACTATCACAAAAACAGACCTGATTGAATTCCACTGATCACGGTTTCTCACTAGAACTCCAGGAAATACCTCTTGGAAACAGTCAGTAGTGATCATATGATGATCATAATGAGAGAGTGGTTTTGTGGCTGTTATAGTAATTTATTAATTGGATTTATGAGTCAATTAAAGCTAGAAACGAATGCTGCACACTGGAATACGGATAGACAAACTCACATATATTTCAAAACATAAATTATACAATAAATCGAAATTACGCATACAATTCAATATAACCAGAAGTCAATGTAAACGCATATCAGTAAAACGTAAAAATGATGTAAGCGTTCATAATTGATTGATCACTGGGTGGTGATCAACGTTATGCTTGTCTAGTCCTTATCGCTGCAGATCGAATGCTATCGACCATGTCGCAGCTCGGATAGCTCAGTGGTAGCGTCTCAGACTGCTAAGCTGGGTGACACAAGATCGAATCCGCCAAGGAGCACCAGTTCCCTCAAGATTACCGGTACACCTTGCCGACGATTGCCAAGTAGCACAAAACCCGGGTACAGGGTTTCCTGTCGACTACCTCCAACCAACATTATTATGTAATAACATAAAATTATAGTCGATGGACATACATAACAGGACAGTTTTAAATAAACATTATAACAAAAAACTAAGCAACTAATTACGTAATTAACATTCAATAATGATCAGTAAAAACCTAAAATAATCAACCTTCATTCATTTAAATACGAAACGATAGAATTAAGTCCAATATATGACGTAATATAGTAATCATACGAAAAATATGTTATCTGTAGTCAAGAAGGAACAGATTTTATGTAGCCCAATAAAAGAAAGACTGGTAACTTTCTCTTTTTAAAATAAATGGATTAGATTTATGATAATTGATTGAAATAACTTCAGAAAACTTCAAAAGACTAAAGCTTGAGGTGGCTAATTAATCTTGAGTATCTTAACTTGATAATTGCTCTAATCAGATTGTTGATACCTTTTGTCAGACGTCTTTTTAGAGTATTTCTGAAAACGTTTTAAACAACTCTAATATTCTGTTTAATCACTGTAACCATTTAGTTAGTACAGATTAGATTATCTGACATAAATTGATGATAATATGAAAGAATTAATACTTGTTCATCATTGATTAGGTTATTGAATTTGTTGTTTACGTTCCATATTGGTTACACATTACTTTAGTGTTGAACTTTCTACGGATTGTTGTCGCTTAATTTTTACAAGAAACAAAATGTATCATCATTTTTGTACCACACTTTATTAAACTTTCTGCAAGGAAGATTGAAGGTCCTGCGTTTGAATTCTGCGTGCGAGATCGTAGATGCACACCAACAAGGAGTCGTATACTAGGAAGAGCCGGCCGTTCAGTGCTTCCAGATTTTCAGTGTTGGTTTAACATTGATCGGTTCATGATCTTAGTTATAATTAAATAGACATTTGCTTGAATGTGTTGTTCATTCTATTGTTTAAGTATAAAACAATTGACTCATGATCTCAACTGTTGAAATTACTACAATCTCCACAAAACCCTTTCTGATAATAATCAACATATGCACACTAGTGACTGGCTTCAAGAGGTATATCCTGAAGTTCTAGTGAGAAGGAGTGACCATAGGAGTTCAACCGGGTCAGTTGTTAGGTAGTAACTCACTGATGACAATGGTGGATGTGTCGCTCAATTTCGTGGATTAGTTGAATTTAGACATTAACACCAATGGATGCCACCTCAGTGATCTAGTTGGTTAAGCGCCTGGAGCGAGACTGATAGGATCTGTGTTTGAATCCCACGAGGCATTGTCGTAAACGCGCACTGCTGAGGAGTCCCACAATAGAACGAAACGTCCGTCCAGTGCTTTCAGGTTTTCCATAGTGGTCTAGCTTCAACTGACTCATAATCTCAACTGTTGAAATTACTACAATCTCCACAAAACCTTTTCTGATATAAAAGAACATTCAATCAATGAGAGGATATTCACACTTTTTTCTTTCTTTTTTTGAGAACTGCACATTATGTCTTTTAGGCATAATTTATGTAAAAGAATGACGCATCTTGATCGTTAGTGATTTCTCCTTTATACTTGATAATTATAAATATTCAGTTGAACTCAACTGGTCATAGGTAAAGTTAGACATTATTATCGTTATATCCTATCTCAGTTGTCTAGAAGTAAGCGATCTCTCGCAATACTGAACGTTATAAGTTCTCGTCTCGCTTGCATGGTTGTGGATATCAACTGATGAAGAGTCCAATACTAAGACGAAATTATCCTTCATTACTCACAGATTTTTTATAATGATCAAGTCAAGATTAGTTAGTGATTTAAACCTTTAAAATTCCTTAATCCCCAAAAGATTAATAATATAAATACTCTTTTATTTATATTATTAGAAAAAATCCCAGAACATTGTGGTCGTAATGCATTTGATTATGAATGGCGTAAATATTTTGGCAAAGCAATAAATAAACGTATTGTTGGAGGTAGTGCTACAGCTTATGGTGAATGGCCATGGTTAGCATCATTGATGTTTTATCAAACAGCGGAACAAGTTAAAAAACAAAAAGAATTACAAACAAAAGCTGATGAAGAAGAATTAGAATTTTTAGATGAAATTAGTAAAAATAATGAAATAATTTTAGATGAAATTGATCCATTTATACCACCATCACTTGTTTATAATTATCCAGATGGTGGTCGACGTTTTCATTTATGCGGTGGTACATTAATACATCCACAATGGATAATGACAGCGGCACATTGTTTTTTGTAAGTCATTTGTTAGTTTAATTAATTTGTTGTTGTTGATTGTTTTAACCTTTTCATTGATGTTTAAGACTGTAAATGATCAGTCTCATATTGGCATATGTGCATCTTGTACGAATGACTTTGATATTGCCTTACGTTACAACCATTATAAGCAGAGATAGATGGTGGCAGGTACATCCAAATGACGAGTCCTAAATAGGACGAAACGCGCGTCCTGTATTTCACTGCTAGCCACTATCCATCTTTGTTTATAATGCTTGTGATTTAAGATAGTATCGAGGCAAACCGTACAATATGTATATATGCCAATAAGTGACTGATCAATTGTAGAACCAACACATCAATGGGAAGATTCAAGTAAACAATACCAAAGGAATTCGGGGGTTTTTTTTCTATTTGATATTCGTCAACAATTCATACCTATAATTATAAGGGAATCGATACTTCCAATGTGAATCGAAACTAAGTAACTCAGCTTCACGGTTTAAGACTTTATGATTAAGTTGTTTAGTCAATTACTGATGTTTTGTATGACTGAGATATTTACAACTGATTATTCACTATTCAACGATCAATCAGTTGAGAATTCATCAATGTATTGTGATTGACTCTCTTTGATTTTATTTGTATATGTCACAAGATCTCGATCAGGAAATTACTTATGATCCGTGGAAATACACTTAGTAAAGACAAGTTCATTTTGTTATCAGTATATAATAAGAATTCATTGTGAAATGTAAAATAAAATGATCTGTTTTGATGTTCATATAAGTTTAAGAGGTTTTCTTTAACTCAATATAACATTTCATAATATTCATTTTATTCCCAATATGATATTTGACATTAGTCAGTAAGAGTAATGAATTTATATTTTCCATAATTCAAATCAATACTAGGACGAAACGGCCGTCCATCCAGTACTTCCAGGTTTCCCATGATGGTCTAACTTTAATTAACTCATGAATTCAACTATCAAAATTAATATCAGAAGGGGTTTTTCTTGACATTACTTATCGTATCAGTTAAGATCATGAGTCAATTGAAGCTAGGTCACCGTGCAAAACCTGGAAGCAATGGACTACCGTTTCGTCCTATTGTGTGGTATTAATACTGTTGGATACCGGCTTAGTAGTCTAGAGGTTAAGTGTTTGAGCGCGAGAGCAAAAATTTTGGGTTCAAGTCTCGCGTGCAGGTTGCGCACTGCTAGAAAGTCCCATAGTAGAACGAAACGTCCGTCCAGTGCTTCCAAGTTTTCAATGGTGGGCTAGCGGTTATATGACTTATGAATTCAACTGTTAAAATTACTAGCATCTCCACAAAATCTCTATTCTGACTTTATTGATTCGTAAAATTTCGAAACCATGTTCTGTCCCATAGTAAGACTAGATGAAGATGGTTACAAATGAAGCATTATTAACTCTTTAAAAATGTGATGACGTTAAACTGAATACCCTAATTTATATACACTACTTAAAAGCTGGAAGCACTGTACTGCCGTTTCGTTCTGATATAGGACTCCTCACCAGTGCGTCTCCACGATCCCGCCTCGCGAGACCTATGATCCTTGCGTGCGAGCGTTTAACCACTAGACCTATGAGCCGACCAGCATCCAACTGTGTTAATGTTTGACTTCAATTAATCCATGAATTTGAGTGACACATCCACCATTGTCTTCAATGATTTACTACCTCATAACATACACGATTGAACTTCACTGATCACATCTTATCACTAGAACTCCAAGAAGTCCATTTTGAAATCATTCACTAATGAGCACATGATGATTTATTATCAGAATGGGGATTTTGTGTAGATTATAGTCGTTTAATAGTTCAAATCATGATTCTAGCTATAATCAACTCATGACTTCAACTAGTAAATGTTACTAAAATCATCACAACCCCGACCACCCCTCCCCCACACCATTCTGATAATAATCTACTTTTTCTATCAAATAAAAAGTTAGCAACGTAGTTTCTCGTTTTTTTTTCAAATTAATATTATACGTTGTTACTTCTTAAAAAACAAAAAACAAAACGAAACCTACACTCTTTGCAACCTAAATAAACATGAATGTTGTTGCGTTGTTATTATGATTATCTTTAATTTATTCATATGTAAATAATACATGATCAATATGAATCAATAAGTGGGTCAGAAACCAGAAAAAAAATTTTTTTTTGCAAAGAAAAACATCTTAGTTACAAAATAAAAAGTAGCTCATTTGTTTACAATCAAAATCTTTTATTTGAGTGTGCGTGTGTGTGTGTGTGATTTTTTTCTCTTTTTTTGATTCAATAAAACCAGAGTAAATACACAAAACAATCATTAAATAAACTAATTCAAAGTTAAACTAAATTTTATTCATAATGAGTAGTATATTTAAACTAATGTTGAAATGAGGAATCAATGACAGAGTTGCGGGGGGGGGGAGGCGTGAAAGTGTTAGAATTGTAAGAAACATTAGTAAAGAACCATTATGAATATTGAATGGTTAGAAGTAATCGGTAGAATAATTAAGTTGATCTAAGTTTATTTTGTTAGTTAGTATTCAACAGTAAGGTGTATCTTCAATCATGATGGAATTGATACTTGCTGTAAGATTGAAACACATATTAACTAGTTACATAGTCTAAGACATTACTAATCAATTATTCTGGATTCAGTTGACTGGTCAATAAGTAATGATCAATATAGTTTTTAATGTGAATTGAATTCTGTGATGTTATTGTTATATCCGAGCGAAGATTAAATCACGAGTAACTTCTTAGACATATTAATTGACTATGATTATCTAGACATTCTTATGGTATCATTATTCAATAATTAGATTATGTATATTTATATTCCTCTTAGTATAAGCTCTATTTTGACCTATATTTTGGTATTGTACGGTTTATGGTTCTTAAGTTATGTTCAGTTTATTGACTACTGCCTCCCACGTTTACAGCCACGTTTTGGCTTTATTGTGTACACAAATTTTCACAGGTTGAAATCATGAGTCAGTTGAAGCTAGACCACCATTGAAAACCTGGAAGCACTGGACGGCCGTTTCGTCCTGGTATGGGACTCCTCAGCAGTGCGCATCCACGATCCCGCGCCACGCGGGGCTCGAACCGAAGACCTACTGGCTTCGCGCGCGAGCACTTAACCACTAGACAACTGAGCCGGCATCCAACGGTGTTAATGTCTAACTTCAACCAATCCACGAAGTTGCGCCACCGTACACCATTGTCTTCAGTGAGTTGTTATCTCACAACAGACCTGGTTGAACTCCACTGGTAACGGCTTCTCACTAGAACTCCAGGAGTTTTTCTTGAAGTCAGTCACTAATGAGCAGTTGATTATTATCAGAATGGGTTTTGTGGAGAGTTTTAGAAATTTTCACAGGTTGAAATCATGAGTCATTTGTGTACACAAATGTTATTTCCTATTTTATGGTGCGTTGCGGTCTGTTTGGTCAATATATAAACCCAGTATGTCTGGAATAAATGATTCGATCCGATTCGCTTAGTGGAAGCTAGTATTTGGTGTTGTGGATTCAAGTGGACGGGCTAGGCGGACATAGGACTAATAAGGACGCTAGACTGCCCATACCGGTCGGACGTCATTGGTTTTGGCACAGTGCGAAGATTGTATAAGTCGTATTTCGATTGGTGAATAAACCACGTGATAAAAAGCCGGACATAAAGTCATAACAGTTAGGATTAGCTTAATTGCTTCGAAATTATGTGTACTATATTAAGATGTTAAGTAGTTGGGGGTAGCCAACAGGAATAAATCTGTAAACAAGTAAAAACAAATCAATTACGAGAGTGTTTTTATAGACTTATGGATGTATTTCTTGTATTATATGGTAATTCACGGTACTTGTATTATTTACATGGTACCTTATATATATCCAGCTTTAGATTTACTTACTTACTTACGCCTGTTACTCCCAATGGAGCATAGGCCGCCGACCAGCATTCTCCGACCCACTCTGTCTTGGGCCTTCTTTTCTAGTTCTATACAGTTTTTCTTCATTTTTCTCACGTCTGTCTCAATTTCTCGGAGTAGTGTGTCCTTTGGTCTTCCTCTTTTCCTTTGGCCTTGAGGATTCCATGTGAGTACTTGTCTTGTGACGCAGTTGGGTGCTTTCCTCTTTGTGTGTCCTATCCACTTTCAGCGCTTCTTCCTCCGCTGGGATCTGGTTTGTTCTCTCCCACAGTAGATTGTTGCTGATAGTGTCTGTCCAACGGATCCGAAGTATTTTGCGTAGACAGTTTTAGATAGTTTCCATTTATTGTGTGAAAAATTTATGAACGTCAGGAGTTTCGCTAAATCACTGTATATAAGATTATTGTTGAGAATGAACTGTCGTTCAACGTTTTCTTAAAATATAGTGTAGGTGATATATATCCTGGATAAATGTTCTTGAAATTGATTCAAAGTAAGTTACCTAACTTGTGTTGTTTTATTTCGTGTTGAGTTTATTATTTAGACAAACAAGTTTCTTGCCGAAGTTTCAAATCAAATACTGGTTCCTGTTAAACTACCATTAGAAACCATAAAGTAGTGGACAACTATTTCATCCTATAATACCCTGTGATAGTTCTCATCATGTATTTACTAGTGATTAGAGTCATAGAGGTAAATTCTGGAATTCTGGTCAGAAGTCATGATCAATAGAGTCCAAACATATCGTGTGTCAGATAACCATTACTGAAGGTAATGGATGAAGAAACTGTCACTTCGTGGATTGACTGAAGTTGAAAATTCGAACTACTAGGCAGTAACTTGATTCTCTGAAGGTTAAATACGATGCTCAAAACATAATGGTCTTTGAATGTATCTCAAGTGTTATCATGAATGAACCCTAAGCTAAAACGAAAAACCGTCTAGTACTTCCTGTTTTTCAATGGATGACTAACCGATTTCAGTTTGTCGTATGAAACTTTAGATTATGCTTCATGAAGTCATATAAACTTGAGAAGAAAGCATTTAGCTGAAGTTTCTTT